AAATGTGGGTCCCATGGCCAAACCAGTTGAGAACCCCTGCTTTAGTTGATTCAGGCGTGTTTGATTAGGAAGAGGATGAAAATGTGTACTGTTGGCGTGCTTTCAGGAACAGGGTTGGGAAACACTTGATTAGACTTTACATTTGTAGTCAGGAAGATGTAAAGACTGAATTTGTGTGTGTGTGTGTGTCTTTTATCTGAAGCAGCACTTACAAGCCAAATACGAGTTTCTTTCAATTTAAAAACTAATAAAAAGGTAGGTGTTTCCCAACCCTGTTCCTGAAGACGCATCAACAGTCAATATTTTGGATGTCCTTTAGATCAGTGTTTCTTAACTGGTGGGTCGAGGGAACATTTTTAGTGGGTCGCGGAGTGTGTGGTAAAAAAAAACAACAAAAGTTTATTTTTTAAAATTATTTTGCTTATACCGGACTTTTATTTTGAAATGTATGCGCGACAACCGTACCGTTTGACATGTGAAATTTAATTTAATTATTGCAACAAATATGTCGAAGCGCAAGTACTACCCCTAATATGTAAAGTACGGATTTATCTATTGACGACAAAAAAAGACTTAAAGCCTCAGTGTCAAATGTAGTGAGGTGCTCAAATAAGAGAGCATGCAACCTTCTAAATTAAAACAACATTTAGAAACCAGAATACATGTTTTATTAACAGTTTATTATTAACAGTATTTGTCGTTTTTACTTTTTGTTAATTTACAGCAATAAAATATAATTTATTTGTAAGTCTTGGTGAATTTCTTGTATCCATCACTACTTGTTTATGTTAACAAATAAATACAAATTAAGTATAATTTCTAAAATTGTATTATAGTTCCTAAAAATTTGGGTCGCGGCTTAATGACCATGTAAAAATGTGGGTCCCATGGCCAAACCAGTTGAGAACCCCTGCTTTAGATGATTCAGGCGTTTTTGATTAGGAAGAGGATGAAAATGTGTACTGTCGGTGTGCCTTCAGGAACAGGATTGGGAAGGACTGCATTTGGGTGTGGCTTGTCTAAAGCAGTACTTAAGGGCCAAATATGAATTTCCCAGCCCTGTTCCTAGAGCCACACCAACAGTACATATTTTAGATGACTCCCTCATCTGACCCATTAACTTCAGCCTTTGGAGTTTCTTCTAATGTTCTGACGAGTTGATTCAGGCGTGTTTGATTAGGAAGAGGATGAAAATGTGTACTGTTGGCGTGCTTTCAGGAACAGGGTTGGGAAACACTTGATTAGACTTTACATTTGTAGTCAGGAAGATGTAAAGACTGCATTTGTGTGTGTGTGTGTGTGTCTTTTATCTGAAGCAGCACTTACAAGCCAAATACGAGTTTCTTTCAATTTAAAAACTAATAAAAATGTAGGTGTTTCCCAACCCTGTTCCTGAAGACGCATCAACAGTCAATATTTTGGATGTCCTTTAGATCAGTGTTTCTCAACTGGTGGGTCGAGGGAACATTTTTAGTGGGTCGCGGAGTGTGTGGTCAAAAAAAACAACAAAAGTTTATTTTTTAAAATTATTTTGCTTATACCGGACTTTTATTTTGAAATGTATGCGCGACAACCGTACCGTTTGACATGTGAAATTTAATTTAATTATTGCAACAAATATGTCGAAGCGCAAGTACTACCCCGAATATGTAAAGTATGGATTTATCTATTGACGACAAAAAAGCCTTAAAGCCTCAGTGTCATATGTAGTGAGGTGCTCTCAAAAGAGAGCAAGAAACCTTCTAAATTAAAACAACATTTAGATACCAGAAAACATGTTTTATTAACAGTTTATTATTAACAGTATTTGTCGTTTTTACTTTTTGTTAATTTACAGCAATAAAATATGATTTATTTGTAAGTCTTGGTGAATTTCTTGTATTCATCACTACTTGTTTATGTTAACAAATAAATACAAATTAAGTATAATTCCTAAAATTGTATTATAGTTCCTAAAAATTTGGGTCGCGGCTTAATGACCATGTAAAAATGTGGGTCCCATGGCCAAACCAGTTGAGAACCCCTGCTTTAGATGATTCAGGCGTGTTTGATTAGGAAGAGGATGAAAATGTGTACTGTCGGTGTGCCTTCAGGAACAGGATTGGGAAGGACTGCATTTGTGTGTGGCTTGTCTAAAGCAGTACTTAAGGGCCAAATATGAATTTCCCAGCCCTGTTCCTAGAGCCACACCAACAGTACATATTTTAGATGACTCCCTCATCTGACCCATTAACTTCAGCCTTTGGAGTTTCTTCTAATGTTCTGACGAGTTGATTCAGGCGTGTTTGATTAGGAAGAGGATGAAAATGTGTACTGTTGGTGAGCCTTTAGGAACAGGTTTGGGAAACACCGGACTATGCACGTTTTGTAGTAGTAAAGTTCATGCATTATATTAGTGATTACTAGTTTCTGATTGGACGCAGTAGATAACATACACCAACCACACAGAGGCACACATCAGAGCATCTGTATATTTTATTCACATATGTTACATTTTGCATTAAATGTGATTAAAAGTCACCCTTTCAGAGATGACGTCATAAAGTCTGAATCAGCACCTACAGTAATGTACTGTATTACTGCCTGCCTGAAAGCATTCATTGCAGGGAGAACACCAGCGTTAGCCACCCGTCACACTCAGCACAACTCTCTGTCTATACAAAAGGGAAGAAGAGAAGGAACAGAAAACAGCAGCATGCAGTAAATCAAAAAGAAACGAAAGCAAACTTCAAGTGCACTGAAAACCTCCATCCCTCCCTCAATCCAGCATGGCATGATTGCAGAAATGATCAATACCTACCAATCAAACTCATCAATACAAACCAAACATGCTTTTTTCTGCTCTCTCTGTGTGTGTGTGTGTGTGTGTGGTTTCCTAAGAATGAATGCAGAATGATCGTTTCTGATGGTGACCCACGATCAAAACGGACACAAAAAATATCACACAGGAACCTGTGCTGCATTTAAACACGTGCATTCGATTTCTATATACAACTCAATAAGGACTTTAAATGTCTTCGCAATGTGGTCTCACATCAAGTCGAATGATTAAAGGGTTTTAATAGGGGTCATTTGATATGATAATATGAAAGGGGAAAGGATCAAAAGAGAACAGAGAAGCTGCGTTCAAAAGAAAAAGAAAATAATAAAAAAACACCCTGTGTGCCATACCGCAAGCGTCCACCACTGGACCGGGCTGTAATAATCAAGTCGATGTGATCCAGTTTAATGCATTTCCAAATCATTAACAATAATGCCCTCTCCGAAAAATACAGACTACACAATCAAAGATGGTCCGAGGACAGAGCTTTGAGGAACACCACGTTTAATTTACTATAGCCTTCGCTAAATGTAGGCCTATATTTGTATTACGTATTAAATAGTCTTCGCTTCATGACCTTAAACCTTTATTTTTTGTCCTTTTCGACAGATTTTAGTTTGCATAAATGTTCTCGAATTCAAAATCTTTCTCTCAGAAACCCTTTAGATCACAAAGTTATTAAAGTCAGTGTTTTCCCAACCCTGTTCCTGAAGACACACCAACAGTACACATTTCACAGCTCTCCCTAATCCAGGGGTGTCCAAACTCAGTCCTGGAGTGCCGGTGTCCTGCATAGTTTAGCTCCAACTTTCTTCAACACACCTGCCTGGAAGTTTCTAGTATACCTAGAAAGAGCTTGATTAGCTGGTGCAGGTGTGTTTAATTGAGGTTGGAACTCAAATATGCCGGACACCGGCCCTCCAGGACCGAGTTTGGACACCCCTGCCCTAATCAAATCACTCATCAGAATATAAGAAAAGACTCCAAAACCTAAAGTTAATGGGTCAGACAGGAAAAATAGGTACTGTTGGTGTGCTTCAAGGAACACAGTAGGGAAACACTAGTCAAAGTGGTGTGTAAATAAAAAAAAAAAAATAGTTTGACAATTACATATAACAACGTCATTTAAATAAGAAAACGTCATAGTCCTGGAGGAGGAGGCTTCACTTGCTCTAAAACTCTAGAGCAAACTTGGAAAACACTGCCCCCTGTGGGCCATCAGACACCAGTCCAGCTACACTGATATAAAAATGCTGGGTTCCACAATTTCTTTTAGGTCAGGGGTGCTCAACCCTGTTCCAAACCTATTTTTGCTGCTTGTTCAAACTACTTATTTAAAATGAGCTCAATCAAGACAAACCTTGAGGTGTTTGGGGGGGAAAACTTAATTATTTTATGTTCAGTCCACTTAAATTTGATGACAAGCCAATTAAGTTAACTAAATCGATTTGTGTTGGAACAATCTAAAGCAGGGGTGGCCAACCCTGTTCCTAAAGATCTACCTTCCTGCAGATTTCAGCTTCAACCCTGATCTGCAGGAAGGTAGATCTTCAGGAACAGGGTTGGCCACCCCTGCTTTAGATTGCTCCAACACAAATCGATTTAGCTAACTTAATTAATTCCCCCCGCCTCCCTCTCAAATTTAAGTGGATTGAACATAAAACAATTAATTTGCCCACCGAAAAACCTCAAGAATTGTGTTGATTCAGCTCATTTTAAATACACAGTTTGAACAAGAAGCAAAAAATAGGGTGTTAATGGAACTGGAGTATGGGAAAGTCAGTCAAGACTTGCAAAACCGAAAAGGACTCGGATGGGTGGGCGATTTTTAATTCATACATTATTTGGGGGCTGTTGTTGGGTGAATTTTAGGAATTATGCTCAAGGTCGCTAGCTAAGATATGAATCAACTGGGAAGATAAATAAATAAATAACAAATAAATAATAAATTATGTTTGTGCACCTAAAAACGAAGCAACTCGAGGAAGACTAAATAGTGAGTACATAGAATTTTTGAGGTGAACTATTTATTTTAGATCAAAGTGTGATAAATAAGCTTCATTTTCTGAACTTTTTTGATGTTAAATCATATTAAAACAGCCTCGGCTGAGAAAATGACAACCTTTCTGCCAGTGATCATTATTAAATATAATGTGCTAGAAAAAAAACACTGTACAACTTCAGAGGAGAATATTTTTATAATAAACCCAACATGCCAGCGAGCCACCATCCAACAGCCTTCATTAAGAAAAAGAGAGAACGAAAATGTAAAGATGATTTTCTTTTTTTTACAAAGGTATAATTTACTTTTTTTTCTTCAAACAATAGCAGCACTTTAAATATTAAAATCTGAGACCACAACAAAAAATCTATAATAATAATTATAAAGTAAAATTCCTGAGGATGACTGAAACTACACCTCGAGTTCTTGTTTGGCGTTTATCTGCTGATATTTCATCTCACACAGTCGATCCAATGAGATGTTTAAGCCGAGAGAAATCCCGATGTGTGAACATGATTTGATTTCTATGCGTTCGTCTAGCTCTCAAAAGTCTCTCTCCTCAAAAACTATGTCAGTTTTCCAACCATGACATGGGAGTATTCCTGCATTTGTGTCTTGACACAGACTCACTCGATGTGCTTTCGCCATGAGACAAAATCAACATCTCCCCTATAAATCCACACACAAAATTCACTTAAACACACACACGCACACACACACACACTGTTAGTCATTAGGCTTGATTGTACACTAAACTTCACATGAACCCAGGCTGTGACCAACTCAATGCGTTTCCTTTATATTACACTGCATTAGTGGCGTCCTGTTAAAGTCCGTTGTAATGAGGACCCCAGCGCTTGTTGATGTGGTCGAAGGTGTGAGCGACCCACTGCTGCTCCAGAACACGATATCTCTCCTCGCACAAATACAGAGGCTTTCCTCGACTGTGGGGACAAGAAATTAAATGTTACAGTGGGAAAGAGGAGCAGTTTTTTTTTAAAACACACGATCAACTAAATAAATTACAGCTGAAAATCTAGACAGCAGACTGAATTCTAGATGCAGTATCAATAGGAGGTTTACCGTAGGTCTCGGTCTTCCTCTCCGTGAGCATCCAGATACACAGACCCCCACAGGCAGAAGCGATGCCCTCGGATGATAATGATGACGGATGCGTTTATCAGGAGGAAGATACCAGTCGCCGCTCCGCAGTGCTGGGAGTGCTTTTGAATAAAAAAAAAAAAAAAGGCAGAAAAAAAGATGTATACAGTGGGGGAAATAAGTATTTCTTTCAGAAAGCATTTTTCTGAAGGTGTTTTTGACTTGGACTTTCACCTGATGTAGATAACAAGCAAAGAAATCCATTTAAGCAAAGAAAACAAAAGTAATTAGTAGGGGTGTCCGAATTTATGCTCAATTTCGATTATCGAATTAAAAAATAGAATCGTCGATGCTGCCACGCCCCCATGTCACGTCAGCTTGGCTTGCCAAGCGGGAAAAAAACATGCTTGTTGAAGTGCTTGTTAAACTGCAGAAGCAGGAGACCCGTCGACAGAGCTTAAACCCTCTCCTCTTTCAATGAAGTCGCCGGTGTGGAAGCATTTTGGATTTCCAGTGAGTTATGTTGACAACGTTCATGTTGTCGACAAAAAAAAACACAGTTTTGCAAGCTCTGCTATGTACGTATTACGTTGCAAATCCGCTCGCGAATAGTACACACTCAGGCCCTGTTTACACTGTCTTTGTTTTTAAATGGCATTTTAGAACGACAACGATTTGACATCCACAGTGGCGTGTAGCATTTCTGAGCAGCCCTCCTTCCTCACTACCTCTGAAAATGTACATCACGTGACCACACAGACACAGACGCACACAGCCATGAGCTCGAGACAGCAGGTCCAGGCAGTCAGAGGACTGCTTCAATCTTTCACTCAATTGTACTTAGTCATTTTAGCGAACACCTCAGATATTGTTGGCTGGTTCCTGTTGGTTGTGCGTCTTTTTTACCGACGCCATTATAACGACACAGATCACTGCCTATTCACAAGTCCCGCAGAAAAAAAGTGATTGACAGGTGGTAATTATGTGTGTATCTTGCCTTTATTCACTTACTGTATGATTTGTTTATGGGTAAAACAAAGACCATCCAGGTCGGGTAGTTTAAACGGTAGGCTACACATAATTAATTGGTCATTAATTAATTATTCATAATCGAAAATTGAATCGTGCCTTTAGAATCGAAAATGTAATCGAATCAAGATTTGGAGGATCGTGACACCCTTAGTAATTAGTTTACAAAGGAAGTTAAATGTAATAAAATGATGCAGAGAAAAAGTATTAAAAACATGAAGAAAGGGAGGAGTGGAAAGGCAGTGAAAGCCCAGACAGCAGCTGAAATCTCTCAGCAGTTCTTTAGCAAACCTCTGCTCTTCCTCAGTGCACATTAATATCAGCTGCTTCAGTCCAACATCTACATTAGCAGGAGGATGAAGATAAAACCAGCAGAGCTGTTTTACTATTTCTTGAGCACTCCCAGTTGTAATGCTTTATTTGATTTAGACCATGTGGGTCGAAACGTTGTGACATTAAAGACTTTTTGAGAGCTAAAGTGGCAGTGTTCCGATTTTCTTTGGATCTTTTTCTACAAATGACTAAAAAGTGGCCATAAAGGAATATTTTCTTAACTCAAATGAGTAGAAGCTTGGATCCGGAAACAGTATTTCATACACCGAGCGGAGCAAGCGGATTAGTATTGCCTCAAGTTCATTCAAAGCTCCAGTACACACTTACCAGCACACACTCGCAGACGCCCTGCTGCTTACAGCAATGACCCTTCAGGCAGACGAACGCGCCGCACACCAGGCACAGCGCAGGGTCTTTGGGGGTCTTTCCGCAGCTGCTGCAGGATTTCCTGTGGTAGTACTGGAAGATGGTGTTGTAATTGTCGGGAAGCTGCAGGAGACGAGGAGCAGCCCACTGCGGGTCCTGACCTAACAGAGACTGAGGAGACACCACATGTTCAATTACACTATATTCAACAGTTTCACTTCATCAGCTGTATTATGTGCAAAAAACTTGAAGATGAAATCCTGCATTCCTGTCCATCTAGCATTGATAAAAAAAAATTGTTGATATTTGGACTAGAAATGAGACAAAAAGCCACCTTAGAGGGCCATGAAACCCCCAGTTTCAGCAGGGGTTTTTCACACCTCTACTATGGAAAAAGTCAGGAAAGTGGGCGTGTCCAGCTCTGTTTAGGGGGGAGTGTCGGAGGAGGGAATAAGGGAAGGTGTGTAAAAATTTGCAGTCGATTAGGGCACACACAATTTTCAGAGGCAAAATAAACACACAGACGCAGGGGAGCAAGACAGAGACTGTGTTTACATGGACATAAGTAATCAAATTGTTTGCCAAATTATTAAATAGTGGACTTTAACTGCAGTTTGGCTCTTTCATTCAGTAATTTCCTTCATGCCCCTCATGACAAACGAGTTATTAAATTCGAGGAATTGCAGGAAGCGTGTATTTTTCATGCAATGTTTGTTACCGCACGGCGAATGAGAGAAAAAAAAAACCCTCCGCATTTCTCTGTAACTTAAATGCACACGGTAGGTAGCGTCAGAAAGCCGTGTGTGTGTTATTCCTGTCACAAAAATCAGCGAAAATCCTCCATGACGGTAAATTTGATTGTGGTGCTAACATGTTTACACTCGGAGAGCAGCATTTACAGATCTTTCAGTCCATAACATTGTAATGATGTTAACGTATGGTAAACTTTATTAACTTGAAAATCATTTGACCAATGTCCGTCTTTAAACACTGAAAGAGTACTGCTGACCATAGCAACTAACTTTGCCTCTGAATAAACAAACAAAGACCACTGATCCAAAACTGTAGGTCAGGTCAATCAACACCAACTGGAGCTGCGTCTTTATTAAAATGAGACGAGCAGCAAATCTGGATTTCACTGTTTCCATATGAGGAAAAGCTCTCAGGTAAAACAAAGTTCCTTAGACAGGTATTTCTGTCGAGCGTTGCATGCACTGTAATCCATGCACTGAGTCCAGCTGCGCTCTCATAGAGGGAAAATGAAAATAAAACCTTCACTGCAGCAAATTATAAAAGCAACACTGACGACCTGCATCTCCAAACAATTCTTGTTCTGCCACTTGGCAACACAACGTGGCGTCTCTCTGCCGTCTGAACACTGTAACAGCTAAAAACAGTCTTGGAAGCTATCATGCATATTAATGAAGTTGCACCGCATACACAATAGAGTGTGCTGATTGGTTTGAATTCTATCTCATGATTGAATGCAGCACACTCCGAGACGTCATAAGGTACTCCTGGGTACAGACGTCCAGTCTACACGCTGGAATACACACTAAGATCTCATGGCCGTGACACAGCTTCAAAAATTCATTTTAAACTGGAAAGAATTAGCTTGAAATAACGCAAAAACAACCAATTTTCACTTTTTAGTGAAATATACGTATCCTAATACTGTTTTTAGCAGTGTGGCACACATTTACAACTGTCAACCGCTCAAAACATGTGTTTTGGTGTTTCGTGACCCTTTAAAGCATTGACCATGGTGATATCTGCTGAACGGGAACAGCTGGCCATTTTATTAAACCCTCAAATCATCCCTTGCATTCCACTCCATAATGTTTTGCTTGCGGTCATTTTTTGGAAGGGTCTGTGTGGTTGTGTATGTGTTTTTCAAAAAACCATTTCAGAAAGTTCAGACATCCAAAATCACTCTTTGACGATAGATGGCGCTACACAACTTTAAGCTTCTGACACCCGCTTATAACACAGTAGAAGAGGAGGAGAGGAAGTTCACACGCATGTTGTTAAAGTTGCTGGTGACTCGAACAAGCATGGATGGTTCAAGCAGCAGCTCCAGCTCTAGCAATGATGAAATGATTATTGTTCACCAGAGCAATAAGCAGCTCCACGTTCATATCGCCTCTGGGCATCTTCTTCAATGTGCGCTCGCATTGACAATTATGCGCTTGAGCGCCTCCAAGTGCTGTTTACTGTTACTTCAGCAGCTCCGTGCACGTGAACAAAAGTGCCGATCTGATTGATGGAGAAGATTTAACACGGCGCGTCAAAACAAAACCGTGCATGAAGCATTTTTTTTTTTTAAAGGCACGATCACATTGACGCTCTTTGTTTAGTCACGAGGCGTTAAACGTCGAGGTAAAACACAAGGCAAAAACGTCTCAGTGTGCACAGGCCTTAACATTGTTAAATCAAGTCCTTTTTTTTGTAAAGCCTTTTCAAATATCTTAAGAATATTTTTTCAAATATTTCATCAATATTATATTATATTAAACATTAATGCGTTATATTTATGGGCTCTCGCTCTAGGAGGAGCAGCAGATACTGACCGCAGACTGCTGGGAGGGCGTGTCGGACAGAGCGACGACTTCTGAGCACCACTGACTGATCAAGTCAAAAGCACTGATGTTCCACTCCAGACACGCTGCGCTGCTCATGGATCCACTGCACTGAACAGAAGCAGCTAAACCCAGACAGCGCGTCAGCAGAGAGAACTCCTCCTCCACCTGTCATGAAGCAGAGAGAAGCAAACAACATCCATTATTGAATCACCTTCATTTCAACAATACATTTAAAGCGTGCTGTAAATCTATATATACATACAGCAAGTACAGCCCAGATTTCAATATTTTCTATAGGATTAACAGTAGTATATACATTCACCTTATATACCTTCATAATAGTTTTAATAACTAATTTTCAATAAATGGTTTATTTTATTTTTGCCATGATGACAGAACATACTATTTGACCTGATAGATACTAGTACTCAGCTTAAAGTGACATTTAAAGGCTTAACAGGTTAACCACTTAAACTCTGCGGACCCGGTACCGGGTCCGTGACGTCATCGACTTTCGCTTTCAGATTTAAAGGGCTAGCATTGCACCAGACCCCCGTAAGTGGTGTCGTTTGAAAGTGTAGAATCTATATTTTATGCACATATGCATCACTTTGGTTTTTATTCTACTGTATAAAAGTTATTTACACTTAAATACACAGTATTTTGGATACCCGAGCTGGGTATTGAACATCGTTTCCTTTTCATATGGTTCATATATGACACATGTACAAGTTATAGCTCAAATGAAAGCTCTTGCCAGTGCTCATACGGTTCTAGCATTCTGTTAACTGAATTATATTCACATATCAAACAGTTGCCGAATGAATCGCAGGGTTTCCATGGTGCAGAAGTGAAAACAATACATTTATGATCAATAAGCAGCCCCAGATAGCACAGACAGCTGTCATTTCTTACCTTATGCTGTGCGCTTCAGGGCCATTCTCCTCTGTTTTTGAGGTGATGTGCATAAGTAATCCTTTTATATGTCTGACGTGGTCCAAACACAGTGAATTATGTTTGATCAACCAAAAGAATAGTGAAATATGTAAACAAGAATCGCTCTCTGTGGCTTGTACAGCACCTCTCATCAGTTGGAGTGCAATGACTTTTGCATAGATTATGGTGGAGACATTTTTCTTTTTTCCTATGATTACAAACATGTTCAGGAACCACCAAAATTATTTACAGCACGCTAGACCACACACAACCTAAAAGGTACACTTTCAAATTTGAGTTTATAAAAAAAAAAAAAAAAAAAAAGCACCTCTTTTTTTAGGTGTTTATTATAACACAGACGACATATACAGATATTTTAAACACTTTCAATGATGTTTTATGAAAATTCAAAGGGTTTTCTTTAAAATGATACCAAATTTTTGCATTTACACCCCTGCATGTGGATTTGGAAAGCTTTTAAATTTGGGTAGGCAAAATTAAGGCGGAATATATAGCAACAGAGTTTAAGTGGTTAAATATGTTAAAGTCAGGGTAATTAGGCAAGTCATTATATAACGATGGTTTGTTTTATATAAATCGAAGATTAATATTGCTTAAGGGGGCTAATAATGTTAACCTTAAAATGGTTAAGAAAATTAAAAACTGCTTTTATTCTACCTAAAATAAAACAAATAAGACTTTCTCCAGAAGAAAAAAATATTTTAGGAAATACTGTGAGAAATTCCTTACTCTGTTAAACATCATTTAGGAAATATTTTGAAAAAAAAAAATAATAATAATTGTGACTTCAACTGTACACAGCAGCAAAACAAAATATAGCAGTGATTTTTTAAATATAGCCCTAGTGCGTGTGTGTGTGTGTGTGTGTGTGTGTGTGTGTTTACCAGGCAGCCGGGTAAGCTGTCTCCATACAGGTGGTGCTGCAGTAAACAGGAGAGTCTCAGGAAGGGCAGACAGAACTGCTGGAGCCTGAACTCAATGGACTGAGGAGACCAAACACTGGAGCTCAACTACAGAGAGAAGACAGCATTAATAACAGCTCATTTCCTATTGATAACAGTGTTTTTAAACTTTTGTTTACAGACCTGTCTTTACATAAGAAGTGCTTTAGAGATTGCTGAAACAACCAACTTTAAGCTCAAACCTTCCTTACTAATACCGTACTAACTATTAATAAGAAGCTAATTAGTAGTTTGAGCTAAAAGTCTTAGGCTGCGATCACACTGCACTTTTCCCCCCATAGACTTCCTTTTATACGCACGTGAATGCGTCAGACCGGAAACGCAACCTCGTGCGTCAAGTTTCACTGTTCACTGCATTGGAAAGTTTAAGCTTGGTGTACTGACCTGCGAAATTGCATCACTTGACTGCGTGAGACCAATCAAGGATCAAAACATGACCTCTCTAGACAGAAATTTAAAATATGGACTAATAGCTCGCTTTTTTAATGTCTAATCATCTTGTTTAATCCCACCCCTTTTCATACGTGCACGCACTAACTCTAGTGTGACCGCAGCTTAAGTTTGCTTAAATTTGACTAATAGTTTGAATTGTACACTAAAATGAAGTGCCAGCCTGGGTTTACTCCAAACGTGAAGCACTGCATGAACTTTTTTCATTTCAGTTGCGTTATCTGAACTTGGGCAGTAGATGCGCTCAAGATGAAATAATAATTAGATAATGATAATTCGGCTCTATTCACATGTTATGTAAATGAATCCCATGAATACTTTAATAAATTCGTGTTTGGTGTAAACAAAGCACTGCATGGTGGATTCTCATGAAATGAACAATGGTTTTCATCAAGAAAATCATTTGGAAAGTCTACATTACTATTACTGATGCTGTAGGTCAGTGATATCGACAATCAATTTCTATTAAATACACTTACGGCAAGTCACATTATTAGAATACTTTATTTGTTTTTACCTAATTAATAATGTGATTAGGTCATAATAGCTTTACTGAATTAATGTGGACGTGTGTGTGTAGATCCTTCATAACTTTAGACTCACAGCGGATGTTTCCTCAGAGTTGGTGTCATACACGTCTTTGGCCTTCGTCAGCTCGGAGATCATGTGACCCAGGAGGGACTCCCATGATTTGTCAGAGTTTGGCAGGTTCTGTATGGCACAAATAAAAAGCGTGAAATCCCTATACTGTAATCATAAGCCCCTTTCACACATACAGACCTTTCCGGAATATTGCCGGCAATTTTCCGGAAAGGTTGTATGTGTGAACAGGCCCTTTTTGAAAATACCGGTAAATTCGTTCTGGCTATTTTCCGGAAAGAGAAGTTGTAACATTACCGGCAATTTGCCGGAATGCTGCGCTGTGTGAATGCAGAAGGAAGACTGCCGTAATAAGCGCGTGCACGTCTAGAACGTGCTGACGTGAGACGTCTGCTTTAGCCAATCACAACAGTCAGACGCATTTACGTCCGCGCGGTTTGTGAGGATAAAAGCCTTTGAATATTTTTCCAGACACATTTAGCTGCTAGAAGTTAGTCAGATCACGTTTATATGTTCTTCTTAATGCCAACTGTGTAAATAATCATCGATGAGATGCTTATGATAAGCCATTGTTTGTTTACCTTCAAGCTTTGCGTGTGCCTGTGAGCGCCAGCACACGCACATTTTATGAACATCTCGACATGCGAAAGTGATCCTGCGAAAGTTGTTCACAATATTGATCATCCACAGAGATTGTAATTCAGTCAAATGCTTACAAATACAAGCGCAGCCGTTTAAAGCTCATTTGTGGTGAATGATGTCAGAATTTACCGGTATTTTGGAATGGATGTGTGAATGCTCTTTTCCGGAAAATTTCCGTAACGTCCTCGCCTGTGTGAACAGCGCTTTTTTGAATATACTGGTAAAGTCGTTCCAGAAATTTTCCAGATATTTACCGGTATCACTGTGTGAAAGGGGCTATAGTCGCCTTAACTGAAATACACAACTGTGTTTTAAAACCTAGTGACAACCAAGTTCGAAATTTCCGTATACGTATTTTTTCTTATTCAAATCCGAAAAATTCGTCACTTGCACAGAGTTCGATGCATATTTATTAATCCATTGCGAAATAATTCACAAAACTATATAAAATGGAGTCTTCGAGTAGTGACCATGATTTCTTTTGTTTCCCAGAGAGAAGACAACAAAAAGGAACAAGAAAATATTTAGTTTATCCCATCCTTAGATTGCGAAGAGACAAAGGTGTTCCACCTCCTTATCAAAAAGCTCTGGGATTATCCTGACCCATTCAAAGTTTACCTCAGATAGTCGGTGGCTCAGTTTGATACTTCGCTAGCAATACTGGAATCACATATTAAAATAAAAAAAAAAAAAACACCAATTTTCATGAACCAATCGATTCTGAACAGAGACTGGCAGTTTGTATGGAGGTACGGAGATACAAGCAGACCAACGTTATCTCACAGCAATTTGTAACTTTTTTTGATTCAGTGCCTAATTCATATGAATTAATTTGATCTCATTCCTACAATTTAGTATGATTCACTTATTCCCCATTGGTGGTTGGGTTTAGGGGTGGAGTTTGGGGCCACGCCTCTTTTTTTAAGATCGTACATCGTTGTAAAACTAAATTCGTACAAATTAGCCACTAAACTGACAAAACATAAAATAGTTACGTTTCCCCGTGAGATCCGGCTGAACAGACATACACGCACACACCAAACCACACAGAGAAAATAGCATACAATAAACCACAGAACATTTGTATTATAATAGTTTCTCCGACATCATTTTGGATTTTGCTTTCCCTTTAATATGGTGGCCATGAATTGTCAAAACACCTCTTAAAAGACTTTTTAACATGTCCAAAACACATAAATAATAAAAAGTAACGCGATTAATTTTTTTTTTATGATGGTTGAAAGTCGTAAACAGATAGACGAACATCGAACCGGATTAAATATTTTAAATGAGGCACGAATGTTTCGGAGGCATTGTGTCAATACGAAGTAAGGTCAAATTTATATTTTAATATGCTAAAATTAAAGACAAAAACGTTGAACTTTTAACGTTTACCGTTAATGTGCTCTTAAACATAACAAGCGTGTTGATTTAATTGTAGTCAGCATCTTACAAAAGCAATGAACATTTCAGACACAGAAAGAGATTCTCTATAATGACTATAATGTGGACTGATGAAATGAAGTCCATCTATTTCCCACAAACCCCCTTAAAAACAGGCATTTAATGGAGTGCAGAGGCATTACTAATGACCTGTTCTGTGCTAATGAAAACTGAGATTTATCTGAAGGTTTCGCTCAAGTAGCTCTTCATATGCAATCTGAATAAACTGAAGATTATTGCCATCATCCACTTCAACAAACAGGATGGAGGGGCAATAACAAGTTTGCGCCTTTTAGAAAATGAGCTTATAATGGAGGGTCTTGGTGTGCAATTTAATCATAATAAAAGGGACGGTTCCTATTTTCCAAATTGAAATGAATGAGCCACGTCAAAACAATATAAATAAAAACAGTACAAACAGCTAAATACACGATTGTTGAATTAGCGTTCTTGTAGAAATAGAACACGCATCCTTGCTAAATTGAACTTATGGCAAATAAATTACTGAGAAGCCAAACTGTTGGCAAGCCAAATTTTTTAGCTTGGCCCTCTGGTTAAATATTGAAAGTCAAAGTCAGCTTTTTAGTCAATTCAACCAGATGTACAGGACAAATAGAGAATCGAAATTACGTTACTCTCAGACCCTAGGTGCCTAACATATACAACTAATACAAAAAGTAGAGTTTTAAGAAAGAATTTACAATAAATACAATTATAAATAAAATGTAATCTAAAAAATATACATAAAATGCAGTCTAAAGAATAAAAAAAGAAATAACATTTGTAAACAATACAATACATAGGCTGCGTCCGAAACCGCCTACTACTCAGTAGCTACTGCTTTTGAATTTAAACATACTACTCGGCCGTTAGAAAAGTACGTTCTACACAGTATAAATGTGAAAAGTATGAATGAAAATTGGACATACTACATCTGCCATTTTGTCACTCCAGAATCTCTTCGGACGTAGTAAGTCATCCGGGTACTTCTCGTGTACTGATTTTCGAATTCTAGAAATTCAGACATACTACTCGGCTCGCATACTGATTTTAGCGTACTATATAGTATGGAAGTATGCGGTTTCGGACGCAGCCAATGACATTAAACATTTGTCATTGTATGAATGACATTCATAAAGTGACATTCAATGTCATGTCAATGAATAAATTTAGCTTGTTTTAAGGTAAAACTGGCTTAAACTTTGAATTGTTCTATCTAAAACAAGACAATATTTTTAGATATTTGGACTAGAACAGAGATTAAAAAAAACTCTGAGGAAAAACTTTTTTTTTTGCAGTACAACTGATGGATTGTAATGATTGTGGTTAAATAGATGATGAAGATGCTTTAAGCAAAGTTCAACTTCAGCCAGTTTACCTCATACAAGGGCCAGAGGGTAGAATCTAGTAAACACTATGTAGGGAATATGTCTCTTATATGGCTCGTAGGGGGCTTTTCACAAAGGGTATAAAGATTTTTTGTTGGTTTGATTATAAGTGGACAATGATAATTACAGCTCTGCCATTCAAAATGTGCAGAGTGGGGGATTGTGAGGACCAGGATAGAGAACCACTGAAGTGGTTGAAGTATACCCCGGAAATGTGCTTTCTGATTGGTGGTTGGAAGGATAAGTGATTGGGTGATGTGTTTGACAGAGAGGTCAAGCGTATTCATTGGCAGTCGTACCTTCTTGGCAGCTCCAGTGTTGCTCCAGGCGAGTCTCTCCTCACGGCTGAACCTGATGGAGAGCGCAGCCAGAGCCTGTGTGAACTGCAGACTGTACAACACCTTCACCACACACGTGAAGTGCTCTGCACACAAACACACAATAGGCCAACATGACTAACAACACCACCAGATGGAGGATGCTTTGTTTAAGACAAGACGTTTAAGACAAGATCAAAAATTCCATGACATTTCCAGGACTTTCAAGTCAATTTTCATGACGTACTGTTTAACGTAATGTCTGCATATCAATCATAAGAAACGTTTAAGTTTATTACAGCATCTCATAAAACACGCAATAGTTTCAATGTATTTGTATACATCTATGTAAAATAGATGATGCTCACGCAGCACGAATAAAGTAAAAACAACAAACCTCCATTCCATTATACAGATATTTGTCGAACAAATTTTACATTATCCTAATAGTTTGTTAAACTTCTATTGTAAAGCCACAATCACACTGCACTTTTCGCTCCATAGACTTCCATTCACAAGTTCTTTGTTTTACGTGGTTAGCTTCGTTAAACCACACTACGATGCAATTTAAATGTCTTAAAGTGTATTTTGGGTGCTTCCCAGTACTGGTTTCCAGCTGGATGGGCATACATGCCTCCTTTCACTTTTTGTGTGTCGTGTATGAGCTTGCTCAATAATCATGAGCAAATGGGTCAGGGTTTCATATATTACAATTAGTTTTCATCATTTTCAGAGCACTTGCAGATTTACCCAATTTATCTCTGACCACACCATGAATAAACAGTTAATTATTTCTTAGCCACAAATTTTAAATGTGAAAAACATGCTAAATATTGCTGAATACTAAACTTTTTATTTAACAAAACAAATGCACAGTCATCTGTCCTGGCTAAAGGTCCCAGATCACCAGTTAACTACACATAAATGGGGAGTTATTCTCCCATTAAAGCAATGTTATTGTACAAAAGTGATAATTAAACCATATTAATGCAAAAGAAAGCAGGTAAAAACACACTGTGTGATAATGAAAGGATAATCACACATGCATGGTTAATGATAGACCCATAAATTATCTGCAAAGAATGATTAAACCGAAAGCAACTGGTGCTGCTTACAATAAGTCAATTCTGGAACTCTTGAAAGCAGCAAGACTGTGGGTGCATGTTCCTCCCGTTTTTTTCAGTCTATTTTCAGTTTCAATTACATTTTTTTTGTCTTACTAATCTTAATATATTCATTTAACTGAATAAAAGCATTTGTTGTAATAACCAGATTCAGCCACTAAAGCTCTGTAGACCTCACAGCTTTCAAAAGAGCTGTGGCTGTTTTGTCCAAGAGCAACGAAAATCAATCGTGTGACGGAAAAAGGACATGTGATTTTCTGGAGAGCGTAATTAGCCTTTTGTGCGCGTGAAGCAGGTGTTAAGAAATCCACACACACTTTCACTAACAGACAATGACAATCCATTAACATTCCACATTACAGACAATGACACCTCTCTCTCTCACACACACTCCATGTCGTTGTGGCAGCACTCTGCTATTCTTATAAACGATTTTCTGTTGTTTTTTCAGTCTTCAGAGTGATGTACAGAATTGATTGTCCTGTTCACGATGACAGAACGCATGATGGTTATTTGAGTCAATCAATGACCAGTGATCCACCAGTAACAGTCATGGTCCGTTTAAAGACCAAACACACGTGTGAAAGTAAGTAAGTGTGTGTCGGGACAGAGGATGATGGGCTTTTTGAGTGGTGTAAATAATACACGTTTTGCAGCACGGCTATTCTTTCCACATCTTTACGTGTTTGTCAGGAAGTAAAAGTGTATTAAAACACTGCTAGATTAATAATATTAATAATTCCTTACATGTACATAGCGTTTTTCTAGACACTCAAAGCGCTTTACACAATGGGAGGGGGGGGGGGATCTCCTCATCCACCACCAGTGTGCAGCATCCACCTGGATGATGCAACGGCAGCCATTTTGCACCAGACCGCACACCACATACCAGCTGATTGGTGGAGAGGAGACAGAGTGATGAAGCCAATTATGATATGGGGAGGGTTAGGAGGCCATGATGGACAGAGGCCAGTGGGCAGATTTGGCCAGGATGCCGGGGTTAAACCCCTACTCTTTTTCGAAGGACATCCTGGAATTTTTAACATCCACAGAGAGTCGGGACCTCGGTTTAAAGCCTCATCCGAAGGACTGCGTTCACTGAGAAGTATAGAGTCCCCTTCACTATACTGGGGCATTAGGACCCACACAGACCGCAGCTTGAGCGACCTCTTATCCAGGTTCTGACCGGGCGCAGCCCTGCTTAAGTTCAGTGGGCGACCATGTGAGAGTTGCAGAACTAGCTGCCGGCAAGATGGATTGAAAAAAGTAGCATAAATCTAAATGTTAAACATTTGTACAAATAAATCAACCAAGTCGCTCACTATCAGTCATCTCTGGCTCCTTGAATAGCACTAAACATTATGTGCTGACTTTCTAAACTAGCGAATTGGGCTAAACGATACCTCAACATTAAATTGAATATGCGATTTGGCAAAAGCTACACTTGTCTTGCACATCATGTGAGGAAAGTACGGTGATGTGATCAGCAGTAAATCTCCTCCTGAAGCCTAAAGGGTGCTATCTCTTAAAAGAATCACAAAGAACAACCAAATATGCCCAGAAGAAATTGAAGAAATACTAGTTTATGAGAAATCCTTACATAGATATTCATATTAGATGTCGTCTACTAGAAGATAAACGTCAACAGAGCTGCCATTTTGGTACAGGGTAGCGCTACTTTGAAATGAATGTGGGACCAAAATTTATATGATCTGGAGTTTTGCAAATATTTTTTTATTTAAATTTTATTTATTAAATTTAAAACTATAATCTTACATCACTTTTATACATTGATAGACAAGTGACCGCAGGGACATGTCTAAAAAAAAAAGCGTGTGTTTGTGTGCATGGAAATGTATCATCCTGCCTACCTGTAAAATTTGATCTAATCCATGTCCTGAAATAAAGCACCTCTCCTGTTTTTACTTCTAATTGTAACGGAGGGAGCGATTCATTTGTTAATGAATCTCGTTACGCGATTCTCGTTTTTTTTTCCAGAATTGTGCAGCTTTAATTAAATGATTCAAAACAAGAAGAAAATACATTTTCACTATGACATAATATACAAAAATCTCTTAATTACATTTAAACACCCCAAGCATGACAAAAAGTGTTCGTAAAATTAAAGTTTGAATATTTTCTCTCTGTGAGTGAGTGTGTGTGTACCTTTGCGTAAAGGCTGAGGCATGGTGAGGATGAAGATGATTAGGAGGGATGGGACGTCTCGGAAAAGCATGGGAACCTCAGGACGCTCTTCATCACAGTACCTGCGCACACAAAAACAAACAAACAATGAAACACTGCAGACACACAAATCAATCACCAAACAACTGTTTTATCTGTATAAACTATATCTGTGTTTCTCAACCATGATACCTGGAGGACCACCAGCATTGCATGTTTTGGATGTCTCCTTTGTCGCACTCATTACAGGTCTTTCAGTCTCTGCTAATGAGCTGATGCTCTGAATCAGGTGTGTTCGTTTGAGACGTGAAAAATGAGCAGAGCTGGTGGTCCTTCAGGAATGTGGTTGAGAAACACTGCTCTATATAATTTATCAAGATTTGTACACCTACATCTATCTTAATTCTCTTTTATAGTTGCTTTGTTCATTGTATAATTTCCACTTTGTTTTTAGGCAGCCCATTTTACCATCCAAGGACAACCAATTTTTGGCTAATTCTGGTGCATTTCTATACACTGTGACTGCCAATTAAACAGAAACCTCAATTTCTCACAGTATTCACTGCTAATATTTAAAGTATATTAATTAAAATGTTAATGAATAATTAACAAACTAATTCAAAGCAGTGTTTCTCAACCACGTTCCTGGAGGACAGGGGTGTCAAAATGAATCATACATCAGCTGTGAGATCGCCGCTGCCGCCTGCCGCTTATCAGCATCACTCATCTGTGAAGAACGCAGCGCGCAAGAGCCAATCACAACCGTTTTTTTTTTTGAGGGTGTGACCAATCAAGGGGGTGTAAGAGAACTAGACAAGGATCAGAAATTGAGCTGGATATTTATATTTGTTTATATTATTTGCTAAATGCTCGTTTTGTTTAAAGTTACAGTTTATATGTCTGACTGTTTGTATTAAATGACAAAATTGCATTACAAAATACAAATAGTATATAAATATAAATATATTCATACATTTTAATACAAGAAATACTGCTGTGAAGAAAATATAAAACTGTGTATGGAAAGCACCGTCAATGCACCGTGATGCACCGAAATATCGAATTGAACCGAATCGATGGCATGATAATCGTAACCGAACCGAACCGTGAAACTAGTGTAGGTTCACAGCTCTACTCGAGGACCACCAACACTGCATGTTTTGGATGTCTCTTTTGTCTGTCACACCCATTACATGTCTTTCAGTCTCTGCTAATAAGCTGACGCTCTCAATCAGGTTTGGTTAAGGAGACATGAAAAATGTGCTGGTGGTCCTGCATGAACGTAGTTGAGAAACACTGATTTAAAAAAAAAAAAAAAAGTAAAGTATATTAAAGCTGGTTGCTCCAAACTACGTGATCCAGACAATCTTGTCTGAATGTTTTTCCCCCAAAGGCACAAGATACTAAAGAAATAACAGGACCATTTCTGTGGGCGACCTTGAGTCAAATCTTGTTTTTCTAGAGTTCTAGCGTTAATAGGCAGTGGGTGGACTATTTACACAGATGGCAAACAAAATATAAAAGGCAGATACTACTTAAGTAAATATCTATTCTTTTACCAGAGTGTGTGGGACTGAGTGCAGTCCATTAGAGCACAATGCTGAACTATGAATGCGCACTCATTATATGCACACACACAAAAATAATACTACAGCAATAAATATGTTACATTAAATGGAATACATGCTCAAATTAAAACATAAATACCTTATGATGAAATATCAAAGCAAGTGCTTATATTGGTCATAAAGGATATATAAAATAAATAAACAAATAAATAAATAAATAAAATAATAATAATAATAATAATAATAATAATAATAAAGTTTAATCTTTAAAGAGATAGTTCACCCAAACATGAAAATTCGGTCATTTGCTTATACTTGTCGTTAAGTTGAACACAGAAGACGATATTTTGATGAATATTAAAAAGCAACAGCCACTGACTTTCACAGTATTTTTCTTTTGTTCCAACTATGGATGTCAATGGTTGCTTTTTTTCAACATTGTTCAGAATATGATGTTTCGTGCTCAACAGAAAAAGGAAATTGATCAGCACGAGCATGTGGTTGTTCCACAGTTTCCGCTAATAATAACCATTTTTAACCCAATTGGAATCACACTTTGTACAACAGAGATGGCCAAACTAAAATCCGCGGTAACCTTTGATTTGGCCCGCCATCCCATCTGGAAAGAGAG